ATGGAATGATTTTTTAAAATTGTTCTAAAATTCTAGATTGTGGAAAATCTGGAAATATAGAGTCCATTGGAAATTTGGAAGAGACATGTCAGATTTATGGACAATCTAGAAAACTAGATCCTACTGAATGTTTGATATACTATATTTTTCTGTTTTAAATTGTGTTGAATTTTTTACTTTATTATTTTTGAAATGTCTCGATTTGATAGTTTGTAAGTTATAAAATTTGAGTAACAGACTAATGATCCTTAAAAATTGTTCTAAAATTCTAAATTGTAGAAAATCAGAAAATATAGAGTCTATTGAAAATTTGAAACAGAGACATGTCAGATTTATGGAGAATCTAGAAAACTAGAAGCTACTGAATTTTTGATATTTTCTCATTTTTTTTTAATTATGTTGAATTTTTTAGTTTATTATTTTTGAAAATTCTGAATTTGATAATTTGTCAATTATAAAATCTTAGCAACAGAAGGATCCTTAAAAATTGTTCTAAAATTCTAGATTCTGGAAAATCTGAAAATATAGTCTATTGACAATTTGAAACAGATACATCTCAGATTTAGGGAGAATCTAGAAAACTAGAAGCTATTGAATGTTTGTTATCTTCTATTTTCTTTTAAATTATGTTGAATTGTTTACTTTATTATTTTTGAAAATTCTCGATTTGATAATTTGTCAATTATAAAATCTTAGCAACAGAAGGATATTTAAAAATTGTTTTAAAATTCTAGATTCTGGAAAATCTGAAAATATAGTCTATTGACAATTTGGAACAGACATCGCAGATTTATGGAGAATCTAGAAAACTAGAATCTATTGAATGTTTGATATCTTTTATTTCTTTTTAAATTATGTTGAATTTTTTAATTTATTATTTTTGAAAATTCTCCATTTGATAATTTGTCAACTATAAAATCTTAGCAACAGAAGGATCTTTAAAAATTGTTCAAAAATTCTAGATTCTGGAAAATCTGAAAATATTGTCTATTGACAATTTGGAACAGACATCGCAGATTTATGGAGAATCTAGAAAACTAGAATCTATTGAATGTTTGATATCTTCTATTTTTTTTAAATTGTGCTGAATTTTTTATTTTACTATTTTTGAATATTCTCAATTTGATGGTTTGTCAATTATAAAATCTTAGCAACAGAAGGATCTTTAAAAATAGTTTTATAATTCTAGATTCTGGAAAATCTGAAAATATAGTCTATTGACAATTTGGAACAGACATCGCTGATTTATGGAGAATCTAGAAAACTAGAATCTATTGAATGTTTGATATCTTCTATTTTCTTTTAAATTATGTTGAATTACTTACTTTATTATTTTTGAAAATTCTTGATTTCATAATTTGTCAATTATAAAATCTTAGCAACAGAAGGATCATTAAAAATTGTTCTAAAATTCTAGATTCTGGAAAATCTGAAAATATTGTCTATTGACAATTTAGAACAGACATCGCAGATTTATGGAGAATCTAGAAAACTAGAATCTATTGAATGTTTGATATCTTCTAGTTTTTTAGAAATTGTGCTGAATTTTTTATTTTACTAATTTTTTTTTAAATTGTGCTGAATTTTTTATTTTACTATTCTTGAATATTCTCGATTTGATAGTTTGTCAATTATACAATCTTAGCATCAGAGTGATCTTTAAAAATTGTTCTAAAATTCTAAATTGTAGAAAATCAGAAAATATAGTCTATTGAAAATTTGGAACAGATACATTTCAGATTTAGGGAGAATCTAGAAAACTAGAAGCTATTGAATGTTTGATATTTTCTAATTTTTTTTTTAATAATGTGAAATTTTTTATTTTTTTGTTTTTGAAAATTCTGAATTTGATAATTTGTCAATTATACAATCTTAGCATCAGAATGATCTTTAAAAATTGTTCTAAATTTCTAGATTGTAGAATATTAGAAAATATAGAGTCTATTAAAAATTTGGAACAGATAAATCTCAGATTTAGGGAGAATATAGTAAACTAGAATCTATTGAATGTTTGATATCTTCTATTTTTTTTTTAATTATGTTGAATTTTTTACTTTATTATTTTTGAAAATTCTCGATTTGATAATTTGTCAATTATACAATCTTAGCATCAGAATGATCTTTAAAAATTGTTCTAAAATTCTAAATTGTAGAAAATCAGAAAATATAGTCTATTGAAAATTTGGAACAGATACATTTCAGATTTAGGGAGAATCTAGAAAACTAGAATCTATTGAATGTTTGATATCTTCTATTTTTTTTTTAATTATGTTGAATTTTTTACTTTATTATTTTTGAAAATTCTCGATTTCATTTTGTCAATTATAAAATCTTAGCAACAGAAGGATCTATAAAAGTTGTTCTAAAATTCAAAATTGGAGAAAATCAGAAAATATAGAGTCTATTGAAAATTTGGAACAGAGACATCTCAGATTTAGGGAGAATCTAGAAAACTAGAAGCTATTGAATGTTTGATATCTTCTATTTTCTTATTAAATTATGTTGAATTTTTTACTTTATTATTTTTGAAAATTCTCGATTTGATAATTTGTCAATTATAAAATCTTAGCAACAGAAGGATCTTTAAAAATTGTTCTAAAATTCTAGATTCTGGAAAATCTTAAAATATAGTCTATTGACAATTTGGAACAGACATCGCAGATTTATGGAGAATCTAGAAAACTAGAATCTATTGAATGTTTGATATCTTCTATTTTTTTAGAAATTGTGCTGAATTTTTTATTTTACTATTTTTGAATATTCTCGATTTGATAGTTTGTCAATTATAAAATCTTAGCAACAGAAGGATTTTTAAAAATTATTCTAAAATTCTAGATTCTGGAAAATCTGAAAATATTGTCTATTGACAATTTGGAACAGACATCGCAGATTTATGGAGAATCTAGAAAAGTAGAATCTATTGAATGTGTGATATCTTCTATTTTTTTTTATTGTGCTGAATTTTTTATTTTACTATTTTTGAATATTCTCGATTTGATAGTTTGTCAATTATACAATCTTAGCATCAGAATGATCTTTAAAAATTGTTCTAAAATTCTAAATTGTAGAAAATCAGAAAATATAGAGTCTATTGAAAATTTGGAACAGACACATCTCAGATTTATGGAGAATCTAGAAAACTAGAAGCTATTGAATGTTTGATATCTTCTATTTGTTTTTAAATTATGTTTGAATATTTGCCTTTATTATTTTTGAAAATTCTCGATTTGATAGTTTGTCAATTATAAAATCTTAGCAACAGAAGGATCTTTAAAAATTGTTCTAAAATTCTAAATTGTAGAAAATCAGAAAATATAGAGTCTATTAAAAATTTGGAACAGAAACATCGCAGATTTATGGAGAATCTAGAAAACTAGAATCTATTGAATGTTTGATATCTTCTATTTTTTTTTTAATTATCTTGAATTTTTTACTTTATTATTTTTGAAAATTCTCGATTTGATAATTTGTCAATTATAAAATCTTAGCTACAGAAGGATCTTTAAAAATTGTTCTAAAATTCTAGATTCTGGAAAATCTGAAAATATACTCTATTGACAATTTGGAACAGACATCGCAGATTTATGGAAAATGTAGAAAAGTAGAATCTATTGAATGTTTGATATCTTCTTTTTTTTTAAATTGTGCTGAATTTTTTATTTTACTATTTTCGAATATTCTCGATTTGATAGTTTGTCAATTATAAAATCTTAGCAACAGAGGCATCTTTAAAAACTGTTCTAAAATTCTAAATTGTAGAAAATCAGAAAATATAGAGCCTATTGAAAATTTGGAACAGAGACATCTCAGATTTATGGAGAATCTAGAAAACTAGAAACTATTGAATGTTTGATATCTTCTATTTTCTTTTAAATTAAGTTTGTAACGGAACTTAGTTTTAAAAAGAGAAGAGTGGGCTGGGACAAAAAGTGTTGGTGTTGACAGATAGAAAAATATTATCTGAATGTGTAATTTTGTTGATTTTGTACATTTAAATAAAATTATAATTGGCGCCCAACGTGGGGCGCCAATTATAATTTTATAATTTTATTTAAATGTACAAAATCAACAAAATTACACATTCAGATAATATTTTTCTATCTGTCAACACCAACACTTTTTGTCCCAGCCCACTCTTCTCTTTTTAAAACTAAGTTCCGTTACAAGTTGAATTTTTTACTTTATTATTATTGAAAATTCTCCATTTGATAATTTGTCAATTATAAAACCTTATCAACAGAATGATCTTTAAAAATTCATCGCAACTGAGATAAGGCGGGTGGGTGGGGCTTAATTATTGGCTTCTTTTTATAATGTGTACCTATTTTCAACAACACGCTATTTAAAATATAATTCTAGCCTCAAATCTACCATTTGATATTTCAAGTATTTTATTGTTGAAAGAGGACTATGTACATACACTAAGAAAATCGAAACATAAGCCCCACCCACCCACCCCATCTCAATTCTGATTAATCTTTTTATTCGTCGTGAGTCGAAGGGGTGGAGCTTAAATTACATATTTCTCTACAAGAAAACACGTGGAACATGTTTTAAGTATCTCGTGTTGTTGAAAGAAAACTGCACATATTAAGAACAAAAGTCAAAATTAAACCCCACCCACCCGCCCCGACTTCAATTATTATAATGAACTTTTTATTGGTTATGAGATCAAGGGGCGGAGCTTAACTGCAAAATCCATAGGTTTAAGGTATGACCGTATTGTAAAAAATAGATTATTTTGAGACAAATTAGGGAATGAAAAATTTGTTGTCTCCAAAATGTCGTAACACAAAAACAAGGAACGAGTTAGTAATGTAGAAAATTAGAAAATATAGAATCTATTGAAAATTTTGAACACAGGCATCTCAGATTTATGGAGAATGTAGAAAATTAGAAGCTTATAAATTTTCTCCCAAAAATTGTTAAGTTTTTTTAGAAAAATCAAATTTTCTCCATCTACAGAATTTTCACAATTTTATTTTTTTTATTTTACTCACCCAAAACCGAGTGCAAGGCAGCTATCACCAACACCGTGAAGCTCAACCCATTCATTTTCTTCGCTTCATTTGAAAGTCACCCGAATCTTCCCATCGTACCGAACACCTACAAATTAAAACCAGTAAGCAAAACATAAAAACCCATCAAAAAACACTCATTCATCTCCTAATCGTGTCCGAGTAATTCGGTAGAAAGCAGCGACCAATTTTTCTCCGCTTTTTTCCCGCCTCGTCTCTTATTTCTCATATTTTCACCGAACACGCAACATTGACCTTGCCATTGCCCCCAGCCACACCAAAAGTGTTACGAATCGTACCGAAATCCGACTAACAATTTTTCAAATTTTTGCGCAACGGACTTTCGTTTCTTATCCAACAGCAATTACTAGCCGTTCCCCGAGATTCACACTCAACTGAACAAAGAAAACGTCTTTTATTAAATCAAATCACTTTCGATCGCGATGAATATGCATTTTATTTGTTATCGAGTGTACGCCTATGACTTAATTAGTGTAGGTACAGTGCGTTGCATAATAAACGCGACACTGCACTCGGAAAAATCGACCGGTAATTAGGATTTGCGCAACTGCGCCGAAGGTTTCGTTATCAGTCTGGATAGAGGTTTTGCAATTAATTAAGAAACGGATTTGTACAGAAAAGCGTCAAAATTATTTACGACTTCCTATGAAACGGGACGTGGAATTTGCCCTCGTTGTTCGGCGTTTATTTTAATTGTTTCGCGCTGACATATTGCGCAATTCTTGTGCCATGTTATAAATTCTTGTTAGTCTTGTTTGAGGATTTTTAATTCCCGACCGTAAACCAAAGAAGTATGGAGTAATCAATTCCATTGGACGAATTGTCACTAATTCTAATCATCATTCTAAAAAAACGTGTATATTCTCCATAAAAATAATACAACATAAACCACACTACGTCAAAAACTACATCTCTTCACTTAACACAACAAAAACCAAACAAAACTCTACTTGGTCCTCCACGCCATCAGGCAATCCCCGGGACTTTTTTCCTTCCCGGCTTCCACGATAAACTGCCCCAGACGCCCAATGCACCCCATGTACTCGCTAGCCCCCGTAGTACGATTGACCCTTTCGTACACCTTCGAAATGTCGGCAAACCTGGTCTTCGGGATAATGACCATGGGAGGTTCGTAGGCCGAGGAGTTCACCGTCACGGGATGCCTGTATGAGTTCTTGTACGTGGTGAGGGCGAGTTGCACGTTTTCTGGCAGCGTAATCACGTGTTCGGACTTCTGTTCCCCCTTTTTGACGTCGCAGTACTCGGCTTGGTACTCCGACGTCCCTTGGGTTTTCGTTTGGCGGATCAGGATCAAGTCGGCGTTGAGGGGTTTGTTGAGGGGTTTGTAGCGGTTCTGGTGTTTGGAGTGGAAGTCGTGGGCGTCTTCTTCTGGAGGGTTTGGGGACTGCGCTTTTTCGAGGAGGAGGTAGGTTTTGTAGGCGGCGGCGGCGGGGTCGGGGCACTCCTGGGGCGGTGGGGGTTGTTTGAAGTATTTGAGCGGTTTTTTGATGTAGTGTTTTCGGTACGTTGTGAGGTAAAATAAATCGTTCATTTTTTGAGTGACAGTGACAAAAGACGTCGGTTTGACAGGGAGAAATGAAAACATCAAGGCATTTTAATTAAAACTTCCTGTAATCAGATGTCTGCAACAACGCAAAGAATTTAAAATCGAAAAATTTGGAAAATTTCCAAAAACAGGTTACGACTTTTGGATTTTTTGAAAACAGCAGATTATAAAAAAATATTTCAAGTTGTTAAGTTTATGAATTTTTTGTTAACAAACAATTTATTTCCAGATAATTTTGGAAATTTGTAGAATTCAAAAATATTCAGACAACTGGAAGTTAATTATAGTGTCTAAAAATGAGTTATTTTTTTATTTTTTGGAACGTAAAACCCGCTACTGAAAATATAAAAATATCTTGGAAACTCAAAAACTCACTGTGATCAGATGTCGCTGGTCTAAAGATTAGGAAAACTCTTAAAGCCATTTGACTTGAAACAAACTGCAAATTTAAAAATTTTTCGAGTTATGAAATTTCCAAATTCTGTGGATGTTGTTTTTTTTTCTCTGGAAATCTGTTTAAAATTTAGATCTTTAAAGTTATTTTCAATTTTGACATGGCACAGAATTTCAATGATTTAGTGATGATTTTAGAATCAGCGGAATTAAAATGGACAAATATATTCTGGAAGACATTATATCTGAAAAAAATCTAAAGAATTTAAAACTTTGGAAGTCGAAAAATTTAAAATTTTCCAAATACAGGATACCTTATTTTTTGAGATTGACTTCAGAAATTTTGATTTTCAATATCCACTTATAGAGCTTGTGGACTTTTTAAAAAGAGGAAATTCAAAGAAATTGATCGAAGTTACTAAATTTGCGTTTTTTTTTGTTGACAATCAATTTATCTATAAGTGAACGAATTTATTAACTAATGTTTTGTCAGGATAAGACTGATTTTGGCAAATTACCTACTCTCTAAGAAAATAAAAGGCGGGTGGTTGGGGCTAATATTTGGCAGAATAAGACTGATTTTGGCAAATGACATACCCTCTAAGAAAATAATTTGGCAAAATCAGTCTTATCTTGGCAAGTATTGGCCCCGCCCACCCACCCTTTTTTTTCCTAGAGGGCTAGAACTTGCTAAATGTTTTTTTTTTCCTAAAGGTTTGTCCTTGTTGATCTACAATTAAAAACCTTGCTGATGCTCTAATATATAACTTTTCACTACATGATAGATATAATAATGTAGAATTAATTCGAAAATTTTAGAAAAACTGGAAAGGAGAGAAGTCGGTCTGTAATTTTCAACTTTAGATGCATCACCGGAGTTCAAGACAGGACAGATATTAGATTCTTTCCACTTTGTAGGGAAACCTTTAGTTTCAAGAGATTTCAAAAATTTCGAATTTCATAACGAATATTTACAAAATAGTGCCCCGTGACCATAAACAGGATATTTTTGGAATCAGCATGCCGAGATCTATATCCTTGAATTTTTTGAGAATTTTCAAACAACTTTTTCAGAAATGAAATTTTTTTCACCATGTATGCCAATTTCAGCCCATTTTTTACCATTTTCGAAGTTAAACTAAATATATTTTTTCGTAAATTTTGGGGCGTAGAATTCACTTCCGGTCTGATTTCTTTGGTTACTCAAACCGTTTTTCCAGAGTCGCCCATATAGAAATTTTTCGAAATTTCAAAAATTTCTTATTTTCATTACGAATATTTCCAAAATATTACTCCGTGATCGTAAACAGGTTGCATATTTTAAATCAACACGTCAAGATCTATATCCCTAAATTTTTAAAATGTTTAAGCAACTTTATCAAAAATGAAATTTTTCACTAGGTATGTTTTTTAGACGGTATGTCATTTGTCAAAATCAGTATTATTTTATCAAATACTAGCCACGCCCACCCACCCTCTGTTTTCTTAGAAGGTATGTTTTTTTTCCAAAATTAGTCTTAGCTTAGTAAATACTAGCCCCGCCCACCCTGAATCATTGAAAAAGAGACAGGGCGGGTGGGCGGGGCTACTTAATTTCTTCTGTCTAGTGGGAGTGGAAACTAATAATAGAATCGACATGTGGAAAATGTAAAAAATGTTTGATATACTATTTGCTATAAAATTTATTTCTTATTTCATGCACCTGATGAACTTAGTAATTTGATGAATTCAAAAATATTTAGACAACTGTTCAGTTTCTAAAAATTAGGTTTTTTTTTAATTTAGCTACGTAAAACTCCCTATTGAGAATATAAAATAAAAATATCTTGAAAATTCCAAAATTTTCTGCAATCAGATGTCGTGATCTAAAGATTTGAAAACAAGATTTTAATTTCTTGTAGAGAAATAAGTATTTTGCAGTTAAGCTCCGCCCCCTTGGCTCACAACGAATTAAAAAAGTCATTACAATTGAGATAGGGCGGGGGGCGGGCTTACATTTTGCCTTTTTGTTTTAATATGTGTAGCCTTCTTTTCACAACATGAAACTTAAAATATGTTTAAAATGGAAAATTCGCATAAGGAAATATCGATTTTGCAATTAGGCTCCACCCCATAATTGCAAAATCCATATTTCCTTGCAAAAATGTGCCATTTTAACCAGTTTTTTGTTGTGAAAAGGCGACTATGTATTCTAAGAAAAACAAAGGCAAAATATAAGCCCCGCCCACCCACCCTATCTCAATTCTGATATATTTTTTTATTCGTCGTAAGCCGAGGGGCGGAGCTTAATTGTAAAATCTTTATTTTTCTACGAGACAAAAAAAAACATTTTATTCGAAACCAAATGCAAATTTGATTGAGTTACGAAATTTACAAATTCTGTAAATATCAGTTTTCTTATTTTGGAATCTTTAAAATCTATTTTCAATTTTGAAATGGCACAGAATTTCACTGATTTAGTCATGATTTTTGAATAAGGAGAATTAAAATGTACAAATATATTCTTAAAGATATTATGTCTGAAATAATCTAAAGAATTTAAAAATTTGGAAATCTAAAAACTTCAAAATTTTCCAAATACAGGATACGTTATTTTTTGAGACTGACTTCAGAAATTTTAATTTTCAATATCTATTTTTAGCTGAGAAGTAAGAGATTTTTATGTGCAGAATTTTATAGAGCTTATCGATTTTTCAGAAAAAGCAAATTTTAAAAAATTGCTTGAAGTTGCTAATTTTTTTTTTGTTGTGAATCAAGTCATCTATAGATAATCTTGCTAATTTGTCAAATTCAAAAATATTTAGACATCTGGAAGCTGACTATTGATTTTCGAAAAATTAGTTTTTTAGTTTTTTTTTAGCAACGTAAAACTCGCTATTGAAAATATAAAAATACCATGAAAATTCCAAAACATTATGTAACACTGGTCAACAAAATTCAATTTTTTCTCTCTAATTTTGACATAATTGTAATATTTTCGTTTAATTTGTCTCTGTGTTTGTAACAAAGGGCATAAACCTTACAACTTAGCTCAATTAAAAATAAAAATGCATGTTTGATGTTAAAAACAAAAAAGCAGGTAAAACAATTTAATTTTTGTATCTTTAACGGCAAAAAGTGATGTATTAACAAAAGAACAACCATAATTAAGAAAAAAACAACGATTGTAGTTTAAAAAACGAAAAAAACAAAAGAAACAGCTAAGACCGACATTTTTTCGGTTGCCTCCTATAGATTTCATTGGAGCTCTCTCGCTTGATGGTCTCGCAGTATTCTGCGAGCATTTAGGTGTTCCATCGATCTTGGTAACGTTTTTGTATCCACAAAATGCCCAGATGGAAGCGTTCTCTATGTCCGTCACTCACGTCGTCATAATTTTTGGGGAAAAAATCAAGATGCGAATACATAAAATGCACTTTTAAGAATATGTTAATTTAAAATTTTTTATATGATGATAACATGTTTTTTATTTACTAAACGTAGTTTTATTATTGTTTCCCAAGAAGTTTGTAGCAATTTGAACACAAAAAAATACACCTTATAGAAAGTTTCCTATTACTTAATAGTACGATTTTTGTATTTTTCAAAGGATAATATTGAAGATTACTATTAAATGAGAGCTAAGTTTGGGTTTAGCCGTTTATAATATCATTTAAAATTGTTAATTAAATAATAATTGGCTGCTATAATAAAAGTTAGAGCTTAGCTGTTGACCAGTGAATCAGATGTCGCTGATCTAAAGATCAGGAAAACTCTGAAAACCATGTTATTCGGAACCAAATGTAAATTTAAAAATTTTTAGATTTACGAAATTTCTAAATTCTATAAATATCAGTTCTCTTATTCTGAAATCTCTAAAATCTATTTTAAATTTTGAAGTGGCACAGAATTTCAATGATTTAGTGATGATCCTAGAAGCAGCAGAATTAAAATGGACAAATTTTTTCGTGAAGACATTATATCTAAACAGTCTAAAGAATTTAAAACTTTGGAAATCGAAAAATTTAAACATTTTCCAAATACAGGATACGTTAGTTTTTTAGATTAACTTCACAAATTTTGATTTTCAGTATCTATTTCTAGCAAAGAAGTTGAAGATTTCTATGTACCTATAGAAATTTCTAGAGTTTGTGGATTTTCCAGAAATAGTAAACTCCAAAAAAATTGATTGAAGTTACTAAATTTTCATTTTTTTTTTGTTGACAATCAGTTCATCTATCTTGGTAATTTGTCGAATTAAAAAAAAAATTGACATCTGGAAGCTCACTGTTAAGTTTCTAAAAATTAGTTTTTTTTTTAATTTAGCTACGTAAAATTCTCTATTGAAAATATAAAAATATCTTAAAAGTTCGAAAACTTTTCGTAATCAGATGTTGCTCATTTACAGATGAGGAAAACTCTTTAAAATCATGTTATTGGGGATCAAATGTAAATTTAAAAATTTGTAGATATCCGAAATTTCCAAATTCTGTAAATATCAGTTCTCTGATTCTGAAATCTCTAAAATATATTTTAAATTTTGTAGTGGCACCGAATTTCAATGATTTAGCGATGATTTTAGAAGCAGCAGAATTAAAATGGACAAATTTTTTCGTGAAGAGATTGTATCTTGTATCTAAACAGTCTAAAGAATTTAAAACTTTGGAAGTCGAAAAACTTAAAAAATTTTATATACAAGATACGTTATGTTTTGACATAAACTTCAGAAATTTTGGATACTCCAAAATTTCTGTAATCGGATCTAAAAAATACTGATACTTTAAAACTTCCAGATATAGTAGGCAAGGAATTTCAAACCATTAGTAAAGATTTTGTAAGCACTGTAATTAAAGTTTAATTTAATTTGTTAATTGAGAAAACAAATCATTGAAATTATAAAATTTCCAAATTTTGGAGGTGTTTCAGATATTTTGAAACTATTACTATTCCAGAACTTTAATAAGGATTTAGAAAAATATTCTTGCAAACACAACATCTAAAACAACGGAAAGATTTTTGTTGTGTTAGATTGAACTCTCCAATTTTGACTAAATTCCAATAAACAATTCTTACGATAAAATGTTTCTATTTCTACTAAACAATGCTCTAGAACCTCAACTCAACAAAAACACAGCATATCTAATTCCTGTCACTTTAATCCAACCCGAAAACCGTCCACTTCAAGAACAATCCCCGTCATCCTCCACCAAATCAAACCATCTTCAATCCACTCCAACAAAAAACCCACAACACCATCATCCCAAACAACAAACCGTAAAATAAACCGGTCACTCGATCGTGCATATCTAATCAATCCCAACAAACAAACCCGCTGAAAAAAAAATCTGAATTTCAAATCCCCCAAACTGTGTCAGCTTTTCGAAAAAAATCGCACGCAGCCTCCGAACAATGCGTCTCATTTTAATTCCCTGCGACCGTAACCCCGATCCGTGCGAAAATCCGCTAATTGGCTCGTTGTATTCAAATTCGCCGAAATCACTCACCGCTTTTCCGAATTTTCCAAAGGGCGGCTGGAAATCTCCCGGAAAATCGATCACTCCGCGCGAAAAAGGCGAATCGCGGAATCCTCGGCCGCTGATGGTTCAATGCACCAACACTACCATAAACCGGCAAAACACCTGAAGCACGTGGTATTCGAGAAACAAGTGAATGCGTTCGCTGTCTAGGTGTATCTGCAAGAAGTCGATGCGTCCGGAGAGAGTTAGAAAGAGTGGCAAAGATGGGGGTTTGCGAGGAAAAACGACGGTTCGGTGCGGAGTCGGACGGACAGTCTGGTACTGAGGACGGTCCGTTACGGAATATTTTCAAAAGGATTCGAATTTTATTATTTTGTTTTTACTTCCTGAGCGTAAATTTATTTTACGTCCTTGAGCTTGGGTTTTTAACCAACATTTTTTCAAGTGAAAAGGCCAAAAGGTCGTTAGGTATTTGAACTCCACCTTTACTGAATATCGTTATGAAACATAACAGTACCAATTTTGTTCTTAGTAGAGGAAAAGTAGCACTTTTCAAAATTACTTATTAGTTCTTATTTTTAATTTTTTGTTTTCCCGATTTTTTAATTTTCATTTTCTCGGTTTTACATCATAATTTTTCTTCTTTCATTTCCTTTATTTTTTCAATGTTTCGATTTTCGAATTCCTCGATTTTCCAATTTTAAAATTTTTCAATTTTGCAAATTTTTGAATTTGCAGTTATCCTATTTTCGGATTTATTTAATTTTCATATTTCAATTTTACAATCCATTTTTTGTTTCTCAATTTTGCAATTTTTCGATTTTTAAGTTTCTCAATGTTTTATCTTTCAATTTGGGAATTTTTCGTTTCTTCGATGTTTCAAGCTCTTGATTTCCAATTTCTAGATTTTTCAAAATTTCTTTATACTTTTCTGTTTTTTCATTTTTGATTTTAGAAATCTACAATTTTGCAATTTTCCCATTTTTTCATTCGAAAAGTTGGTAAATCGAAAAATTAAAAACCTAAAATCTAAAAAATTGGAAAAAAAATGAAAAATCAAAAAACAGAAAAAAAGAGAATTTGCAAATTCGAAAAATTGCAAATCGAAGAAATGACAAATTGAAACATTGAAAAACCTAAAGACAAGAAACTTAAAATTCGAAACAAGTTAATGAATCGAAAAAAAGGAAAGAAGTCAAAACCAATCGAATCGAAATATTGGAAAACCAAAAAACTGAAAAAAAAATTTAAAACCCAATAATTGAAGAATGGAAAAATTTTAAATTGGTACAATTGAAAAAGTGATTTTTTTTTTAAATAACAGCTAATAAAATTAAATAAATGAAAATTAAAAAAAATACAAATCAAAAATTGAAAAATCGAGAAACTGAAATATCTTAATTAGAAAAAAATTGAAAAATCGGAAAATTGAAAACCGAAAATATGAAAAATCCAAAAATTGAAAATTTTCATATTGAAAAAAGAACAATTTTAAAATCGGAACACTGAAAAACCGAAAAATTTTAAAAATAAAGAAAATAAAAAACCGAAACGAAAAACTGAAGAAATAAAAAAATTAAAAATGGAAAAACAGAAAAAACGAAACATTGCAAATTCGAAAAATTGAAACATTGGAAAACTTTGTCAAGAAACATAAAAATCGAAAAAATTAAATCAAAAAATTCCAAATAAGAAAAACCAATAGAATCGAAAAATTGGAAAACCCAAAAATAAAAAAAAAAAATTTATTATAATGTATAATTAAACTCAGAGAGGTTATTGTAAACACTATTAGTTTTAACAAATTTAAGATATTTTGTTAAGCTGTGATGTGAAATTTTAATAATTAGAAGATCCGAAAATTACTTTTATATATTTTGATGTTCTACAGTTGGAAGAACTTTTTGAAATAAATAATTCAACAAAAAATCAAAAATTCCAAAAAGTGAAAAATCGAAAATTGTGAACAAAAATCGAAAAATTGAAAAAAATTTAAATCGAAAAATTGCAAATCGAAATACTGAAGATATAAAAAAATGGAAAATTTAAAAATTAAAAATTGAGAAACTGAAAATCGAAAACTGAAGATTGAAGAAACGAAAAAATGAAAAATCGAAAAAAGTCAAAAAATTAAAAATCGAGAAGGTGAAAAATTGAAAATTTATGAAACCCCAAAATTGAAAAAAATTAAAATTTAAAACATCAAAAAAAAAGAATAAGTTGCAAAGAAAAAAATTAAATCGAAAAACTGAAGAAATGAAATTTTTGGTTTTGTTTTTTTTAATTCTTGATTTTTTATTTAGTCAATTTTCTTTTTTTGGATATTTCAAATGTTCGTTTTTTCAATTTTGGATTAGCAATTTTTCGATTTTTGGGTGTCTCAATTTTTAATTTTAAGACTTTTTTCGATTTGCAATTTTTCGGTTTTTCAAATTTTCGTTTGCAATTTTCGATTGTTCAATCTTCGCATATGAAAAATCGAAAAATTGAAGACCTCCAAAAAAAAAAATCGAAAATTGCATATAAAAAAAAATAAAATTGAAAAATTGAAGAAATGATAAACTGAAAGATCGAAAATTAAAAATCGAGAAACTAAAAAATCAAAAATTCAAAAAACGAAAAACTAAAATATCCATAGGTTGAGCAATCGAAAATTGCAGACGAAAAGTGGAAAAACACTGCAAAATTGAAAAAAACGAAAATTTAAAATATTCAAAAAAGAAAATTGACGAAATGAGAAATCGAAAAATTACAAAAAACAAAACTCAACATATTCAAAAATTTAAAGCTCGAAAATTACATGCGAAATGTTGAAGAAATAAAAAATAAATGGAGAAACCAAAAATTCAGAAAAAGAATTGAATGAAAATCTCCAAAGTGAAAAAATCGAAATTACAAATAAAAAACTGAAACACCGAGAAATTGCAAATTGAAAAATTGAAGAATTGAAAATGAAAAACCGAATCGAAAAATTGGAAAACCCAAAAATTGAAATTCGATAATTGAAAAATGGAAAAAAAAGTTCGTAAAATTGAAAAAGTAAAAAATTTTAAAAATAATATTCCTAGTTATTATTAGATATACATTTAAAATGAAAATTAGAAAAAATCAAAAATTGAAGAAACGAAAATTTGAAAAATTGGGGAACTGAAAAATAAAAAATTGAAAAATGAATGAAAAATTTTACATTGAAAAAAGAAAAAATTATAAAATCGAAAATTTGAAGAAACGAAAAACTGAAAAAATTTAAATTGAAAATACAAAAAATTATAAAATCGAAACATTGAAACATGGATTAATTGAAAAAAAAATAAACAAAAGAACCGAAAAGATAAATTGCAAATCAAAAAATTGCAAAACCTGAAAATTGAAACATCCAAAAATTGAAAATTCGAAAACTTGCAAATCGTCAAATTGAAGAAAGAAAAAACTGAAAAAAATGAAATCAAAAGAACAAAAAATTATAAATAAAATCGGAACATTGAAAAATCGAAAGATTGAATTATTAAAAACTGAAAACTCGTTAAATTTTTAATGGAAAAATTGCAAAATCTAAAAAATGAAGAAACGAAAAAATTAAAAACTGAAAAATTGCAAATCGAAAATTGAAAAAATCAAAATTGAAGAAACAAAAAATTATAAAATCGAAACATTGAAAAATGGAATACATAATTGAAAAAATTGCAAATCGAAAAACTGAAAAATTAAAGTATGAAAACTCGAGAAACTCAAATAAAAAAAATTGAAGAGTTCTAAAGTTTGACAAATGAAGCAAACAATTTTTATAATTTTTCGAAGAAGCGGGATTTCTTAGGTTACACTTCAGGGGCGAGGGAAGTTCTGTCGAAATAGCCTCCGACCAATTTTTTTCATTTTATATTACTTTGATTTTGCCATTTAAATTTTTTTGCACCTTCTCAGGTTTCAATTTAGCTACTTAGCCAAAACACAATGGCCAACGCTTTCGTTAATAGCCCACTATATCTGAATTTTTTCCGGAAAGTGCTTCCTTTGTGCGTTTGATGCGTAAACCCGATGTTGTGATTACACTCTTAATAGTAAAAGTTCGTGGCGAGCCACTATTATGAATATGTAGTTGCTTAAGCGTTATGTGGTGTTACGTCACGTTGGCACCCCTTGCTCATAACCGTGACTAATGAAAAAATGTGTATTGGACTCCTAGAGGATGACGGACATAACATAACGAAACGCATTGTTAGAATACTTGTACAAAATTTTTTGCTCGAGTTTCTAATAATTATTCGTCCGAGTGAGCAGCAGAGGGGACTCGCTTAATAATAATAAACGTAGCGATTCCCCTCATCTTCACACAACCCGACATACAAACTTGTCAAATCGCACCGATACTTAATGCATACTTTAGAAAGCAACACGGCTTAGAAAAAATCACGCAACTTATTGAACAGTTTTTGCTCGCAAACGAGTTATTCGACGGATACATGCAATTATAGGTTGCAAAAAGCGGCGATGTTGCTATAAACTCTGCATTTTTTCGACGCTAGAAATTTAATTAAGTGATTTCACGCCGCTGTGTGGTGTAAATCTTCTGGTTCTTGATGTGTTTATGCTAATCGAAGATGGAGGACGAATGAGTAACGATTTAATAACGAGCCGTGATTGATCGGTTGCACTTTTTCAAGTTCGCGAACTGGAGATTCGGACCAGTTTTTATGCTTCTGGGTGCTATTATGATGTGAAAGTTCGGCATTGACAGTGATGATGTTCGTTTATTATGGTTGCGTTTTATGGATTTAATTTTACTTTCGCTGTGACTTAAGTGTTGTTAAGAAAATGTCGAGGTATTAGAAATTGTGAGGATAATTATTATTGTTGCTTGGAGTAATTATGATGTGGATTTCGATATCCGGGAGGTAGTGGCGAATTTAATGAGGAAAATGCGACTTAAGAAAAAGAGGGAGGGGGGATTTGGGTGTGAAGATGGTTTCCCGGAAGTGGGCGAAACAGCGGATTTGATTGTGATGTAGAACTACCGGTTCCGATTCTGATACTTTTTGCCACTTATTTTATAACTGAAATATGCGAATCTTTATTTCGCAGTGTTAATTAATTAATGACTAGGTACTAAGTAAGGAAGCTTTTCTTACTATTATTTAGAAAGCACATCTCAAAAGAACCTGTCAAGATTTTTTACTTGATGTCTGTGTATCTATTTCACTGAAGT